CAACGGCCGCACCAGGACCGAGTGGACCGTGTCGTAGGCAGCCTCGAAGTCCCAGCTGCAGATGAAAGTCCGCGGCCAGGCGCCCGTCAGCGCTGGTGAGTCGAGCGCTGCCTCGAGCTCCTCCTCGTCCTCAACGTTTTCAGTGAGCTCCTGTGCCACGCAGGTGCGATCCAGCTTGTCCAGGAGCGGGTCTGTCAACTCCTCTCGGCGGCGGCCCGGGAGGCCGCCTGCTTGCGCCTTGGGGAAGCCGGGTAACAGGTGGGTCGCAAGTTGTCGTGCCTTGAAGCGGCCCCACGCGCGCACCACAGTGCTGCTGACGCTGACGGGGCGCATCTTGTGAACGAAACTGTCAGCTGTCTTCGGGGTGTGGCTCTGCCGCCACCGCAGCAGGGCTTCAGGCCGTGCCGAGCGCTGCGCTGCCGCACGGCGTAGCTCCAGCAGCATTTCCAGCGCCTCGTCCGGCAGGTCACGGAGTTCCCGAGCATGCCAGCTGTCTGGCCCTGCCGCCGTGTGCTTCATCTTCCGAAGTTTTGCGGATCGTGCCTCGGATATTTGAAGACAGCTTCTCGTATTCTGCCTCATTCTGGTCATGCATCGCAGCGACGCCCGCCGACATGATGTTGGTAACTCGCCGGGCCTGTCGGGCGCTCGTCGATCCTGCGGCAGTGCTCATGCCAGAGTTGTCAGAGGAGGTCGGCGCGCCTGGCCACCCACTCGCCCTCGCGGGTTCGAAGGAGGCAGGCCACACGCGAAGGCGCCTCGCCTCTTGAGCCACGCGAAAGTGCGAGCCGTCTTTTGCCTCATCCAGCCACGCCAGGCATTGGCCCAGCCGCGGGCGTTGTCTTCCAGGAGCTTGTCTAGGCCTAGGCCTCGCTCCAGGTGCTCGGTGATCTGCTTGCAGCTGAGCCCTCTCGTGACAATGCCAAGATGCTGGGCCTGCACGTGGATCTGGCTTACCAAGTCCTGACGGCACCAAGCGTCCCCTCGGCTGCGCTTGCTGGGAAGGCCTGCCAGGTCATGGCCTTCCGCCGGCCCTGCTTGGAACTCTTCTTGTTCTTTTGGCGACGTGTCCTCTTCGCTGCCGCCGCCACCGCCGCTGCTGTTGGCGCTGTCGCCAGGATAAGTTAGGGCAGTGCCTGTCTTCCAGAGTCTGCTGTTGGTTTTCGAAGCTGGCCTGAGGAGCATGTCTGCGCGGGTGGACCAGGAGTGCCACCAGGCGTCGTAATCCCGCTGTTCGTTCAATAGTGTGGGGCCTGGGTCGCAGAATCAGTCTGCGAGGAGAAGGAGGAGGAGTTGGAGGGAGGAGGGAGGGGGGAGGCGAAAGAGGAGGAGGACCGAGGAGAAGGAGGAGGAGTTGAAGAGAGGAGGGAGGAGCGATGATGAGGGAGGAGCAAGAGGAGAAGGAGGACGATGAGGCAGGCGCGTCGCGGCGCTGGGGTGTGGGGAAGTCGTGTCGCGCTTGCGAGGCCCGGCCCCCGCAGCGCGGGGCGCGGGCGGGGCACGCGCCCCACGGCCACAGCCCGCACTGGCACGGAGCCGTAGCTGCCCTTTGCCCTCGGCCGGCTGGTCAGTGGGGGCGGCCTGCACGTCCAGCTCCCAGGTGGGGTCCGAGCAGATGGGGCCGGAGGATCGCGCCGCGTCGGCGGTGCGGCTCGATGCAGGGCCCAGTGTTCTCCATGCCGGCGTCGCCGATGCACCGCGGACGTCGCCGATGCATCGGCGATGCATCGCCCATACAGCGGCGATGCGGCGCAAGCCTCCGACCCCTCTACTCTGACCCCATCTGGGAGGCCTCTGTTGTCCGAGCATTTTCTTTGGGTGGAGGGCAAAGGGTGAAACCTGAAGTGCCGTTTCGATTGATTTTCGAGGCTTGAATCCGCAAAAGGTGAACCACAAGACGGATTCATTCTCGAGGTGCAAAAGCCGGTATGGATTTCATCCTGAGCCCTCCACCCTCAAGAAAATGCTCAGGCTGTGGGCCCCTGCTGGCTCCAAGAGATGCCCCGGAGGGCCCTTCCCTCTGATTGGCCATGCAGGCCAACCCCCACCACCGCCCGCCCGAGGGCAACGGCATCGGCACAGCGCGCCCCGCGGGGGGTGCGCACGACCAGCTCAGACCAGGCGGGGAAGGAGGAGGAGGAGGAGGAGGAGGAGGAGGAGGAGGAGGAGGAGGACGAGGACGAGGAGGAGGAGGGAGGAAGGAGGAGGAGGAGGAGGAGAGGAGGAAGGAGGCGGAGGAGGAGAGGAGGGGGGGGGGGGCGGGGGAAAAGGAGGAGGAAGGAAGGAGGAGGAGGGGGAGGGGAGGAGGAGGGGGAGAGGGGGAGGGGGAGGAGGAGGATGGAGGAGGCGGAGCAGGAGGAGGAAGAGGAGGAGGCGGAGGAGGCGGAGGCGGAGGAGGAGGAGAGGGCTGTGCCCCGCGCCGGTTCCCGCCGCGCACCGCCGCGGCGCCGCACCCGGGCGCCGCGGCACGCGGGCGCGCGCGCGCGCGGGGGTTGCGCCGCCGGGCGCTCCGCCCAATCGGCGGGCCGGCGGCGGGGCGGAAATGCCGGTCGTGGTCGTTGCTCCTCATCTCGGGCGGGGGCGGCAAAGAGGGGGGTGATGATTAGGTGGGGGGATGTCATGGCGTTGGCCAGGATATTTTCCCTCAGATGTCATGGCGCCTTCTTACTTCATTCGCGTCCTGGACGCCCCCCCCCCCCTGGGCCGACGCACGTACCGCCGGACATGATTGCGCCCCCCCCCTCCTGGGACCCCCCTCTTTGCCGCCCCGACTCTCCCGCCCCGACTCTGGCGGGCACGTGGGCTATGTTCTGTTTTCTTTTTTTTCTTCCCTTAATTTATCAAACTTGCTTTTTTTCCTTTTTTTTTTTTTTTTTTTTTTTTTTTTTTTTCTTTATTTTTTTTTTTTTTTTTATTTTGTATTTTTTTTTTTTTTTTTTTTTTTTTTTTCTTTTTTTTCTTTTTTTTTTCGTTTTTTTTTCTTGCCGATCGCTGCGTGCCATGTGGCGGCCCGTGCGGTCGCACTTGCCCCCCGCCTTCTCCTCCGCGGGCGCGCGCCGCGGGCTTCAGCGCCAACGGGCCCCGGTCCCGACGCCAGAGTGCGCGGGATCTTGCAAAGGCGAGGTTGGGTTGGTCGGGTCGCGGCGGCCCTGGAGGTCCTGGAAGCCGTTCGCGGCCCTGGAGGTGCCCTTATGTACTTACACATGTATATATACCTATATGAATATTGTATATATGTATATGTGTATATGTGTAAGGATGTATGTACATATCGATGTATATATATATATGCATAGCTAAATGTATATATATGTAAGTGTGTATGTATGTGTATATGTAGTAAATGTTATGTGTGTGCGCATGTAGATGTATCTATATGTATAATCTAAAAAAAGATGTTGATTGGCTCAGCTGGGTTTGCGCGGAGCCTGGTTGATCCACGCCCGACCGACAGCCGAGTGGCCACTGGCGCGCAGCCCTCGGAGGGGGCGCGCGGGGGGGGCGGGGCGGGGTGCAGGCCTGGAGCGCGCGGTCTCCCGCTGCCGCCTCGCACGCAGCGGTCGGCAAGCCGCAGCACGGGCCACTAATTTTAAATCGGGCATGTCTTTCTAGAGGATGACATTCAAAACATATATTCCCAGAGTAGTATGGGGATGATTGTAATGTATGTTTGTATATGTTTGAGCAGTTGTTGAATATCTTTTATCTGTCGTCCGAAATCCGCCTGTAGGGGGGCATGCCCGACCTAACACTAATTTCCGAGTCGGGGATTTATCCACGTCCACCGCCTAGGGGGCATCGATCATCGGGGACCTTGGCAGGCGGTGGATGTGGATAGATTCGGCCCCCCTTGGGCCAAAACGTCTCCACAGGCACGGCCCGCTGGGATCCCAGGAAGTCGGTCCCACAGGCGGCGGGTGTGGACATGTCCCCGCCTCACACTCCCTGACGCCCTTGCGAGAGGGCCGTCCTGGAGCCCAGGAGTCCGAAATGCCAGCCCGGTCCTTGCGAGAGGGCCGTCCTGAAGCCCAGGAGTCCGAAATGCCCGCCCGATCTTTCAGGGGCGTCCAACCCAGACCTCCGACGTCATGATTTTTTTATGATGTCGATTACCAGAGTTCTCGACCCATCCCCCAGGACCGGTTTCTCATCCTGAGTGGTTTTTTGACGGTCCCGAGGCCCGGTAAGGGCTCCTGGAGGCCGAAAATTAGCAATATCCTCCGTTCATGATGTTTTCAGTGCCCGACGGTGTTTGGGAAGGGGGGGTGATGACTGACGGGGGGGGGATCTCACTGCGAGGGCCATGATGCCTCCCTGAATTGCATGCCATGCAAATCAGGGAGGCGGCCTCCCTGAAATGCGGCCTCCTTCCTGCCATGACGCCTGGAAATGCGGCCTCCTTCCTGCCATGACGCCATGATGCCTCCATGCGTGCGGAAATAGGTAGGAGGGCCATGCAGCATGGCCCTCCTTCTTATTTCCGCACGCGCCCCCTGGCCCCACCTCGGCCGAGCACGTGCACCGGGTCATCATGCGCACCCCGCCCTCTTGGACGCCCCCCCCCGCGGACACCCCGGAGATCTGCCGCGGGCCGCTGGGGGGCCTCCGGCGGAAAAGCGAAGCGTTCCCTGCGTGTCTTCTTTGTGGTTCCCTCGGGGACCGGGCCACTCCTCACGCCCCCCACCTTCCCTTCGCCCCCCCCCCCCTCCTCGCCCCCCACGCCCCTCCTCGCCTCCCACCCCCCTCCCCCCCTCCCTTCGGCGCTGCAGAACTGGCCCCGCCTGCGAGGGGTCGAAGGCTGTTGACTCCTGCAGACGGCATCTGACCAAACCAAGACGCCACCGCCGTGCCTGGCCGGGGCCACCCTGGGCCCCGCCACGGCGCACGCGCCCTCCTGGCACCGGCCAGGAGGGCGCATGCGCCGTGCCAGGGCTCGTGGCCCTCGCAGCGGTGGGCGCAGGCCGTTTCGGCTCGCGCCCAGGGGGGCCCCGGCAGCCCCCATGGCCGGGCGCGGCGCGGCGCGGCGCGCAGCGCTCGCCTCCCGGGTGCTGGCCCTGTGGCTGCCTGGCGCGGCCCTCGCCGAGGCGCCCTTTGCGGCAGGGGGCTCGCCCTCCTCGCGATGCGATCGGGATGGGTGCGGAAGGAATCCTCCCTCCTCCTCTCCTCGCCCTCCTCCTCCTCTTTTTGTTCGACGTTTGCGCGGATGCCATGCTAGAACACGCAGCGTTCTTCTTCGCCTCCTGCTCCTCCTCCTCCTTCCCCTCCTCCTCCTCCTCCCTCCTCATCCTCATCCTCCTCCTGCTCCTCCTCCTCCTCCTCTTCCCCGCGTCCTCTTTCTCCTCCTCCTTCTCCTCCTCTTCCTCCTCCTACTCCTCCTCCTCCTCCTCCTCCCTCCTCCTCTCCTCGCCATTCTCTCGAGACGATCGAGATGGGTGTGGAAAAAGACTGGGCAAAAAGACTGAATGCAGTTCCTGTCCATTTTGAGCCTGGTTCGCTGTCTGCGTCGACGCGGACGTGGTTCGTTTGAGACAGAAGGCCGCCTGACCGCTCTTGGTTTTGGACCACGGCTGCTATTGGGCATCGTATGCATTTGTTCCTTACCCGTCTCGAGCGTCCAAAGTTGTATATGGATTGTTTTTGTTTGTCTGGTCTGGAAATCAACGAAACGCTGCGTATGTTCGGTGTTTTGGGTTTTGGGGGGTTTGGGATGCTGGGCTGGAGAGGTCCTGGATGGGGGGCCGCGGCGAGCGCCGGGGCCGTCCCAGACCCAAGAACAAAAACCGTCACACGGAGTATTTCGTTTATTCGCAGCCCAGCCCAGGAAAAGACACAACCAGACATGGGCAGCGTTCCGTGCGCTCGGTGCCAAGAGCGCTCCGCGCGCCACACGAGTTTTTATGTTTATGTCACTTTTCGCTTCCCTAGAAAAAGACAAGCAAACATTGGCAGCGTTCCGTGCGCTCGGTGCCAAGAACAATTTCGTTGTGTGTTTGTTGTTGTGTTGTCCATCTGGTCTGGGATTATGATGTTCCAACCTACTTTCGCCATGATCACCAGAAAGAATTTCGAGCGCCAGGAAACAAGTCCCGAAACACAAGGGTTTTAAACGTGTCGGGCCCTGGGAGACACTTGCCCGACACTGTTTCGACACTCTTTTGACACTCTTGTGACTCTTTTCAGGGTGCTCGAAATTATTTCTGCGATGTGGTCCTTAAGTAGGATGGGAACAACAAAAACATGGGCAGCGTTCCGTGCGCTCGGAGCCAAGAGCGCTCGGTGCCAAAAACAACTTCGTTGTGTGTTGTTTTGTTGTCCATCTGGTTTGGGAATCCACCAAATACTGCGTATGTTTTTTTGGGGGGGTGGATGCTGGGACGGAGACGTCCTGGTTGGAAGGCGCGGCGAACGCTGGGGTCTTCCCAAGCACCAAAAACAATCAAAAACATATGGAGTGTTTCGTTGATTCCCATACCAGAAGAACCAAACAAACCAAACATACACAGCATGTCTTGGCACCGAGGGGCGAAACGCTGCGTATGTTTGGTGTTTGTGTGGTTGGTCTTTGGAGGTTCAGGAAAGGCGGTACTGGGCGGCACGCCGCGGCGAGCGCTACTGTTTCCCAAATCCCCTTATCCAGAAACGCCTAACAAACGCGGCGTCTCGTTGATTCCCAGGCCGATCAAAAACCAGACACTTGCGCACATGATGCCCGTGACGGTTGGGCAGAGTGGATGAATAAGTTGTGCAAGTTGTGAACGAAACAGTCGATACTTCGGATTCTCTCGTTGGGCGCTTTGGGGGGTCGTTTGGGGGACACCATATGTATATAGATATCGATAAATGAGGCTAGGGGCTGGGATCGAAGTGGAGCGGAGAGCCCCCCACAGGGAAATCGATTTCGGCTTCGGGTTCTTGTCGTGCGTGCGGGCGAGGCGAAGCTGCGTGGGCAGGCGAGAGGCATGACTCCGCTGTGGCCAGGGCGGGTCGAGAGCCGTTGACCGCCCCTCCTCCCTCCCCGGTGGGCGGGCTGTGGCCGGGTTTCCTGCCGTGCTGTCCCGTCGCTGACCGCCCCTCCCTCCCCGGTGGGCGGGCTGTGGCCGGGTTGTCCCGCCATGGTGTTCCGTCGGTGTCTTGTTTCGGTGGCTGTCCCGTCGCTGTCCCGTCGCTGTCCCGTCGCTGTCCCGTTGGTGTTCCGTGGTAGTCCCGTCGTTGTCCCGCTGGTGTCCCGTTGGTGTCCCGTCGTTGTCCCGTCGGTGTCCAGTGGTGGGAACGATCGATTGGGATCGATAGTGGGATCACGTCGCGGCGCAGCATCGTCACCACGTGTCGTCGTCAACTCGAGGGCGCACCACCAGCATCTTCACCATCACAGCTATCGCAGTCGCCGTCAGCTTGTTCTCTCCCCACCCTATATACCAACCTCCTTATCACCCGAAGGGTGGTCGTTTAGTATTAAAGAGTGAGAGATATTGAGAGAGACAGAGAGAGAGAGAGAAAGCGAGAGAGAGAGAGAGAGAGACCCCGAGTCGCCCAGCATTCGTCTTGCTTCACATCTGTCTGGCAGAGAAGCCAGGGAGAGAGAGGGAGAAAGGGAGCGAGAGAGAGAGAGAGAGAGAACACGCAAACAAAACGAAGCCGTGCATGTCAGTTTTTCTCACTTGCAGACGTGGCGAGCACATCACACTGCCGCAGGCACGGATCAGCGGCACCCGCGTTGCAGGCCGCCGGGCTACCCCGTGCGGCGTGGCAGGAGCGACCACGAACTAGGGCGAGGGGAGAGAGGCGGGGAAGACGAAGCGAGAGCGGATGTGGGGCTGGCAGGAGGCCGAATCATCTCTGCCCTCCGCGGTTCTGACAAGCGCCCGAGGGGCCGCTCGAGCCGCTGCTGGCGGAGGCGCGCGCGAGGGTGCCCTCCGCGTCCGACGCGGGCTGCGAGCTCGGCCGAGGCCGGGAGGGCGAAGAGCGGCACGACATACGGTCGGCAATTGTTGCCCAGGCTTTCGCGTGGGCGGCCCCGGCGAGCGACACGCTACGCTTTGCGAGCAGATGAGGTGCCGTTCCGCTCCGCGGCGCGGGAGGTTGGGAGAGGCTCGGGACGTCGACGCTTGGGTGCGGGGACGTGGATACGGTAGGTTCGCGTCGTGTCGACCGGCGGCGACCCCGACGCCGGCGTTCAACATTGAATGCCGGCGGAGGCCCAGAATCGGTCGATGTTGAACGATCGGACGTTACGGAAATGGCCGATCGTTCAAGGTTGAACGATCCTTGCGGTGTCAAAAACCAACGCTGGGGTCGGCACGACACGAACCTGCCGTAGCGTGTCCTGCCGCAGCGCGGTGGGCCATATCCGGCGGAGCGACACGCTAAGCCAACGCTCCCGACCGGAATCTGTTCCTCACCACCCACCGAACCACCCCAACCCAACCCGAAGGCCTCAATTTGCCCTCCATTTCCAGTGGGGGGGGGTCGGGGAACATTGAAAAACACCACACTCATGAAGCCCATACCCTCCCCAACCCGAAATTCGGGTCTTCGGGTTGGGTTGGGGTGGTCTGGCAGGCAGTCAGTTCCACCATCAGGGACGCACTTGGCCCAGGGTGGTTGGTAGATCTATGCCCCCGTGCGCCACCGTAGGGGTGCAAGTTTTCCAGCCGCCCTGGGGGAGGCATCTCCGATGGCGGACAAGTTTTATTCCGCATGGCTTCCGTCCGCAAAGAGGCCCCAATTTCTTCCTCACCCGCACCTCGCGCTCGGAGCCGAGGCTCGTCTCGCTAGAGTACGCCGTCATCGAGTCCGTGCTGTTCAACCACCCCCTGGCCACGGTGTTTGTGCTGGCGACCGCCCTGGAGCAGGGTGCGTTCGACACCTACCTGCGAGAAGGGTACTGCGTCGTGCTCGCCCCCATCAGCTTCGAGTTCCTCCGGGATGCCGTGGCGGCCGCGGAGCCGGGTCTGGCTGCCGCTCGCTTGGCAGGCGGGTCTTCTTCGGCCACGCGCAGAGGGGGGTAGGGGGGGGGGGAAGGCTGCTTAGAAGCACCCCGCTTTCTAGAAGGCGCGGGCCTTGTCCGTAGATGAAAGGCTGGCGCCTTCTAAGAAGCAGCCTCCTTCTAAGAAGCCTTCCCCTCTCCCCCTACCCCCTTGTGCGCGCCGCCAACTTCTCTCTCGGATCGTCGTGCCTTTCCTTTGCTGGTGAACTGTGCGATGTTGGCGCTTCAGGTCTTCCAGCTGCGCTGCCGCGCGACGATGTCCGCCAGCGAGCGTTCCTGTAGGGGGACGTTGCGCACCAGTACCGCGGCTGTGGCGCAGGTGCGGCGTCTGCACGTTTGCAGCGCTATTTGATTCGGTGCGCCAAGCGACGGAAGAAAGCGGTGCCATCTTCCCCGACATTAGCGCGCAATCTGCCCGCATAAGGTCGCGCGTGAGCGCGCTCGCCTCCAATGTAGCGTGCCGCGCTGGCGGCCCCCGTAAACCACCGCGTAAGAATGCCATGCCATCTCGCGTAGACCCGTGCGTTTTCGTTGCTCAAGTGGGCACGGAAAGAATGGGGACGAAGATTGGCAGCAGATTTTGCCCAATTGAGGGACCTCCAGCGGGCCTCTTGGATGGCTCGGGCGCCGTCTCTGGACGCTCGACGGGTGCTATGTTTGTTTTGTATTGTTGTCTCCCAGGAGTTCTAATGGGGAACCCCCTTGAGGGGGGATTCGTTGCACCTGTCCTGGGGCCTGTCGAGGGCTCAAGGTCGCCAGGCTGTCTTGGGCGGAGATGGTGCCCTCACGGAGGTCTTGGGGGCCGTCTGCAGGGCCATGATATCTTGTGGTTTCCAGACATCGGAGGGCGCCAACTGAACACTTCGTCCGATCCTGGCCAGGTTCTCGCTTTCTTATTCATTGTTTTGCCGATCGGCGCGGGCCCTCGCCCTCCCCCCCCCCTGTTGGCTGTTTGGGGCGCCCGTTTCCAGCAGGTGGAGCCTGCCCGATAGGACGAACTGCTGCAAACAGTCGCATGAAGCAGAGGTCTAGAGTCCGACCCCCCCCTCCCCCCCGTCTCCGTCCAATGTCGACGCGCCGAAGAAGAAAACGTTCACCAGGCCCATGCTGCGCCTAGGTTCGGTGCACGTGCCTTCCCGCTCAGCGCGAGAGGGCGGATACGCGGCTCCTGGGCCCGATGGGCCTGGTCAGCATCGGTGTGGGTGAAACAGTTGCGCGCTCTCAAGGCGCCTGTCCCCAACATCGGTGTCTTTTCTGGTGCCCGACGCTGGCTCGATGCGGATTCGACGCGGATTTGGCGCGGATTCGACGCGGGTCCGACGCGGATTCGACACGGATCCGGCGAGTCCGACATGGATTCGACACGGATTCGACGCGGATAGGGCGCGACGGGATTGACAAGGCCCCTTGAGGATGCAACATATGGGAGAGGATGCGGCCGGGTAGGGATTTTGGGTCGGCGGGGGGTCCGAGGTTTTTGGGCAGGTCCTGGGCCGTTGGTGTCCCGATTGCTAGGGTTTATGTATGGTGATAAAGACTTTTCGTTGAGCGTGAGTGGTTGCCAGGTTCCCTGGTTCAAGCGCTTCCTACTTCAGCACTTGAGATGGAAGATGTTCGCATAGTCTATGATTGCGAGCCGTAGCCCAATCCCGCCAAATTGCTTTGCTACTGCATTGCTTCATCCAGATCTCGGAAGAGAAGCCGCGGAGACCTCGTGCATGAACAAAAACACGCATTGGCGTACGTTTTCGGTGCGGGGGCCTGCACCACGTTGTTCAGCAAAACAGTGAGTATTTTCAATGATTGGCACGGGGACGATGTACAGTACAGCTGCAAGCGCGGTGGCGGATATATGGCGGCGTGTCTTTGCCGATGAACGGGCTACTGTTAAACCCCATCGACATGATGTTGCCAAAGGAGTTGGACTTGCACAGAACCGCCGTATTCCTGGAAAGGGTCCTAGCGCCCGAAGAGCCAGCACCTGCTGACGTCCTTTCTCGCTCTGACTTCGAGAATTCTTGGATGCCTCGTTCACACACAGACCGGGCGGATGATCAGACGGTTCTCTGCATCGACCTTCACTGCTTGAGAGCTGTCCCCGCGGGTTGCGCCTGGGGAGTGCAGCTGTTGCGGTCCTGGCTGGCGCACGCAGAAGGCTCTGTGGATGCGACCGGCGCGGCGACGCGGCTTTACAAGGAGTATGTCCAGCGGCGGTCCCGCGCCCCGTCCGCCATCGAGGCTTCAGGCTGCGAGGCGGTGGTCTTGCCAGCATGGGTCGTTGTGGAGCCGCATTTCCCCGACGGCTTCAGGTATCCGGCTGCCTACGGCAAGTCCCGCCATCGTGGCAGCCCAGCATTCTGGGTGGCGACTGTTCGAGGGGGCACGGGAGGCCTTCAAGGCTTGACACCTTGTGTCCCCCGGCGTGGGAAAGCCGTGATGGTGATGTTGAGGAGAAGGGGGAGGACGAGCAGGAGGAGGAGGAGGAGGAGGAGGAGGAGGATGGTGATGGTGATGTTGATGGTGATGGCGATGGTGGTGATGGTGATGGTGAAGGTGATGGTGACGGTGAAGGTGATAGGGGTGATGATGAGATGGGAGGAGGAGGAGGACAATGAGGGTGATGGTGATGTTGAGGCTTGTGAGGATGGTGGAGATGATTCTATGTTGGTGGTGATGCTGATTCTCATGATGGTGGTGATGATGATGATTTTGATGATGATGAGGAGGAGGAGGATGCTGCTACTGCTGCTTCTGCTGGTGGTGACGATGATAATGATGCTGCTGCGGAGGATGATGCTGCTACTGCTGATGAGGACGAGGATGAGGATGATGAGGATGATGAACATGATGAGCATGATGAGCATGCTGAGCATGATGATGATGCTGATGATGATGCTGCCGATGATGCTGCCGATGATGATGATGATGATAGTGATGGTGATGGTGATGGTGATGGTGATGATGATGATGATGATGATGATGATGATGACGATGATGATGATGATGATGATGATGATGATGATGATGATGATGATGATGATGATGATGATGATGATGATGATGATGATGATGATGATGATGATGGTAATGGGAATGGGAATGACAATGATGGCATCGTGCAGCCACGATGGCGGATTTCGGACGTCGTGGCATGGAGCTAGAGTCGGACGACTACCCGCAGTTTCACAACCAGCTGTTCTCCCCAAGGGCGCACCGGGATCGGCCGGACTGGTGGCTCGTGCGCTCCCTGAAGCTGTGGCTGCCCCTGGACTACGGGCCCCCCTCGGCCCGCAACGTCCTGCCCCGCAGTGTCGTGGACCTGGCGGTGAGGCTCCTCAGCGTGCGGCTGGCCCCGTACACTGTCGGGCCCATGGAGTTCGGGCCGGCACCTGCGGCTCATGCCGGGAAGCTGGATGCACAGCGAAGGAAAGGTCCCTGGGGAAGACGGGTCTTGGGCTTTTGTCGCCGCTTTTGACCCCCCAGGGCCCTCCACGGGCCCCGGGACTGACCCAGGATCAAGAACTGGTCCTGGGGGAAGGCCCTGGGGTCCAGGACGCGTTTCCCTCGTGGCCCGTGTCTTTCATGCCAAGACGCGGCCGGTCCGGACGGGAGCCGGCGGGTGCGCATGTGGCCAGATGTTTTTGCAGCGTTCGGTCTTTGCCCTTCGATGGCCAGGCACGCCGAGATTCCGCAGCAGTATCCCGCGCGCGGCCTTTTGGATGTTTCACATGTGAGTCCAGCCATGTGCCATGCGTGCTTCCAGCTTCCTGCCAGAACACGCGGACGTGGCGAACGCCCTTGGACGTTTCGGCTGCTCTTGACAACTCCATGGCCCAGTCGTTGGGCCTTGGCGACCACAAGCCAGCCACGCCAGAGGTTGCCCTGCCTGGCGAGGTTGGAGGCTTCCGGACCTTCCGGGACATCCGAGTTGTTGGTCGTGGCGGTTGTCCTCCGGACGCGGCGCGGACTGACATCCGCGTGGTGCTGCAGGTGGAGCGCGGCGACACGAGCTTCTACTGCCGCTCCCAGGGCAGGCCGCAGGCCGTCGCGGCAGGAAGCCCGGAGAGCTCGGCCGCCCTGGCGGCGTGCAGGCGAGCGCTGCAGGGCTCGCGCTTCGAGCTCACGGGCTCCCCTGCACTGGTCAACGCCGCCCTCTCGCTGCTCGCGTACTGGCCCGCCCCTGGCCTCGGCCGGGCGCCGCGGCCCCGCGGCGCCGAGGCCCAGAAGGTGGACGCGCGCCTGACCGACGCCGAGCTGAGCGCCCACTTCGGCATCCTCCGGCTCGCCCTGCACGACAGCTGCCTGGGGCGGCTGGGCGAAGCGACCGCGGCGCACGCCGACGCCGTGGTGCTGCACGCGCTCGTGGACGACGTGGAGGAGCAGGTGACAGTCGTCGCCCACTCGGCGTCGAGGTGCGACCTGCTGAGCCGTCTGGCCCTCTCCTTCCGGGCGGTCTACAACCGCTTGCCGGTGATGGTGTCCTGCGAGTGCCCCGAGGAAGCGGGAGAGTCTTGCGCGCAGCCGAGGCAGCGCGCCCACGCCGAAGTTGCGTACACGGTGGTTGTGGACGTGCCTTTCGATTTCGGCCTCTCTCGGGGCAAGCGGCTACTCGTTCAGCTTGCATCGACAGAGTTCATATTGGTCTTGGACGACGACTTCGTCCACTCGCCTCTCTCGTGCATCGAGTGCATGGTCTGGCACATGCGGAGCCGCTTTCACGCGTATCCGTTGCCGTTCGACCTCCTGGGGTTCCCGATCCTGGAGGACGAGCGTAACTTTGGCGCGTTCCGCGGCCGCCTCCGCGCGGGCTCCGGGCGATTGTTTCTCGAGCCTCTTGTGTCCGAGGCCTCTTTGGATGGATGCGTTCGCGTCGGGATACACCCGATGGCTTTCCTTGCCCGCACAGAAAGAATGCGCATGTTCGAGTTCCAGGATCAGTTGCGGGTTGGGGAGCACGAGCAGTTCTTCTACGCCAACAGATACTTCGGGCTCCAGGCGGCCGTGTGCTTCGACTCCACGTTCCCACACTTCCGTGTGCCGATGACAACGGAGTACAAGCATCGCCGAGAGCGAATGCAAGAGTTGATGACGAGCGAGTTTCAAAAGATAGGGTTCCCAGGTATGATGTATCTTTTGCACAAGTACGACGCCCTCTGCGGTGACGACCACGAGTTCATTGAGAAAGATGTCGCACCCTGGCATATATCCCACGACACCTGTGGACCAAGACCCAACCCTCCGAATGATTTCGCGATGCTCTTCGCGGCTGTGTTCTCCTCCCCTGATGTGCGGGGCGCCCAGTTCCGCCACCTTCTCCGCGACGGCTCGAACGCCTGGCTGTCCCGGCTCTCACTGACATCCAACTTCCGCAGGGCATTCTTCATCGAAGAGACACATCCTACGGTGCCGGGGATCGTGTCCGAAGAGGAGGAGTTCGGCGACATCGTCTTCATGCCCGCGCCGACCGCGGAGGAGGCGGCGGGAGGGGGGCGCCGAGCGGGCTCGCCTTCGGCCTCGCAGCTGCGGTTCGCCCTGGTGTTCCTGCGGGACTTCCAGTACCTGTGGCTCCTCGTCGCGCAGCAGGACTCGTTCGTCCACCTGGAGCCCCTGTACCAGATGCTGGCCACACAGGAACGCGCGGCGCGCACGGTGCTGGGCGGGTGGCAGCCCCCCCCAGGCTCCACGACTGCCTCGGCGCTGTGGCTGCCTCCCGAGTTCTTCGCGGTCACCAGGGATGTCCACCACTTGCTGGCGTCGCACAGGGTGTCCCCGTGGCTGAGGACCGACCTGAAGGGCGGTGACGCGGCCGCGGCTCTCAACGCCTGGCTGGCGCCCCTCACGGTCGAGCGCGCGCTGCTCCCCGGCGTCTACCGCGGGCGGCGCCCCGGGGAGTGCCCCGCCGACGCCGCGGTGCTCCACCCGGTGGAGCCGCTGGAGCTGCTGCGGCTCAGCGACGCCGCGGCCTCCGGGGAGTTCTTCCCCTGCGAGGCCCTGGCCCCGAACGCCACCTCGCCGCGCGGGCGCGGACCCGCGGGGTGATCGCGTCGGCCGCCGCCGCTCTGGATCCGCCGCGGGCGAGGCCCAGGCGCCGGGCGCCGCCTCCGCAGCGCGGGCGCGGACCCGCCGGGGAGGTCGCGGCGGCCGCCGCCGCCCCAGCTCCGCCGCGTGCTTGGCCCTGGCGCCGGCGGCCGCTTCCGCGGGCGCGGGCGCGGGTCTGCTTGGGAGGTCGCGGCGCCGGTCGCTCCGCCCGCCGCTCCGCCGGGGTGGCGCCCGTGCCCAGGGCACGCCCCTGAGGCGGCGCGTGGTGTGGCGTGGCGCGGGGGGCGCCGTCTGCCGCGGCCGCCACTGTCCGCCGTCCGCCGGCGGCTGGCGCGGCCGATGCCTCTCGGGGGGCGGGGAGAAGAAGGAGCCATCGGCGCGCACGAGGGGGGGGGGTTCTGAGAAGACGAGGGGACTTCTTAGAAGGCAGAGGCCTTCTGAAAGGCGCCTGCAGGTTGCTCAGGCAGCCTCTTGGAGGACTCTGGGCGCCTGCAAGAGGGCCCATACCTTCCAAGAAGCCCCTCCTGCGTTCTGAGAAGGCACCCCCTCGCGCTACCCCCTGTGCGTGCCGGCCGAAGGAGGTGCGCTTGCCCGAGACTTCGGGGACGCAGTCTCATCAGGGTCGGGGGGTGCTGAAGGTGTCCCTGGCCAAAGGGTCTCCCCAGCTTTTCGCTGCGTTTTGGGCCGTCCTGGGGCCCTCCGGGCCTCGTGCCGGCATCGTCCAAGTATCGGAGGTTGGGGGGTGAGGTCGCAGTGGAACGAAGAGCCCCACATCGGGAAATCGGTTTCGGTATCGTGTTCGTGTCGCGCGTGCGGGCGAGGCGAAGCTGCGTGGGCGCGTGAGAGGAATGACTCCGCCGTCGCTTGGGCGATTCGGATGCAGTGGACCGCCCCTCCGCCCCCAGTGGGTGCTGGGGGTGTCCCTCCTTGGTATCGATAATGAAATTTAATCGCTAGAATGGGATTTACAGTGAGATCAAAAGCGAGATTGACAGTAAGGTTCATTGTGATATTGGTTGTGAGATCCATGGTGGGATCAATAGCGAGATCGATAGAGGAATCGATAGTGAGATCGCTTGTGAGATCTAAAGCGAGATATATCGTGAGATCGATAGTGAGATCTATAGTCAGATCGATCGAGTGATCGACCATATCAGGTCGATACTGGCATTACATCGCAGCGCAACGTCGTCATCACGCGTCGTCGCTAACTCGAAGGCGCGTCACCAGCATCGTCATCATCACACCCATCGCATTTGCCACCAGTGGGTTCTTTCTCCCCCGAACCTCCTTATCACTCGAAGGGTGGGCGTCTAGGTGTTTATATGACGTCTGTGTGTGTTTGTATGGTGATGGTTTGTGTGCTTGTGTGCGCGTGTGTGCTTGTGCTTGTGTGCGTGTGTGTGGGTGTGTGTATGTGCGTGGCGGTGTCTGTGTCTGTGTCTGTGTCAGTGTCTGTGGGCTTGTGTTCGTGCTTGTGCTTATGCTTGCTCTCGTGCTTGCGTTTGTGCTTGTGCTGGTGCGGGTGTTTGTGTGCGCGTGTGTGTACGTTTGTGTGTGCGTGCGTGCGTGTGTGTTTGTGTTTGCGTGTGCCTGAGTGTGCGTGTGCGTGTGCGTGTGCGTGTGCGTGTGCGTGTGCGTGTGCGTGTGCGTGTGCGTGTGTGTGTGCGCGCGCGTGCGTGTGTGTGTGTGTGCTTGTGTGTGTGTGTGTTTGTGTGTGTGTGTTTGTGTGTGAGTGTGTGCTTGTGAGTGTGTGTGTGTGTGTTTGTGTGTTTTTGTGTGTGTATGTGTTTGTGTGTGTGGGTGTGGGTGTGGGCGTGCGTGCGCGTGTGCGTGTGCGTGTGCGTGTGCGTGTGCGTGAGCGTGTGCGTGTGCGTGAACGTGTGCGTGCAAGTGCACGTGCAAGTGCAAGTGCAAGTGCAAGTGCAAGTGCAAGTACAAGTGCAAGTGCAAGTGCAAGTGCAAGTGCAAGTGCGCGTGCGCGTGCGCGTGCGCGTGTGTGCGTGTGCGTGTGCGTGGCGTGCCCGTTCGCGTGCGTGTGCGCGTGCGCGTGCACGTGCGCGTGCGCGTGCGCATGTGCGCGTGCGTGTTCGTGTGCGTGTGCGTGTGCGTGTGCGTGTTCGTGTGCGTGTGCGTGTGCGTGTGCGTGCGTGCGTGGGTGCGTGGATGCGTGGGTGCGTGGCTGCTTGGGTGCGTGCGTGCGTGCGTGCGTGCGTGCGTGCGTGCGTGCGTGCGTTCGTGTGTGCGCGTGTGCGTGTGTGCGTGTGTGCGTGTGTGCGTGTGTGCGTGTGTGCGTGTGCGTGTGTGCGTGTTCGCGTGTGTGCGTGTGGGCGTGTGTGCGTGTGTGCGTGTGTGCGTGTGTGCGTGTGTGCGTTTGTGCGTTTGCGTGTGTGCGTGTGTGCGTGTGTGTGTGTGTTGTGTGTGTTGTGTGTGTGTGTGTTGTGTGTTGTTTGTGTTGTGTGTGTGCAGTGTGTGTGTGTGTGTGTTGTGTGTTTGTTGTGTGTGTGATGTGTGTGTGTGCGTGTGCTTGTGCGCGTGCGCGTGCGCGTGCGCGTGCGCGTGCGCGTGCGTGTGCGTGTGCGTGTGCGTGTGCGTGTGCGTGTTCGTGTGCGTGTGCGTGTGCGTGTGCGTGTGCGTGTGCGCATGCGTGTGCGCGCATGCGTGCATGCGTGCATGCGTGCGTGCTTGTATGTGTTTGTATGTGTTTGTATGTGTGTTTTGCGAGCCCTGAGCGCCGCCGCCTGAAGGCCGAACGCCAACCGACAACGGGCCGAGCAACCATGGCACACAGGCCATTAGCTGCACGCTCCGCGCACGCGGGCGCACGCCCGAAGTCGCCATAGCGTCAGGACGGGCCGCGCGGCCACTCCCTCCCTGGGGAAGGCGGGCCTAGCCGCCAGCCACGCCTCGGGGCCGTGCCCCTTCCCTCCTCCTCCTCCTCCTCCTCCTCCTCCTCCTCATCCTCCCCCTCCTCCCCCCCTCCCCCTCCTCCTCCTTCCTCCTCATCCTCCTCCGCCTCCTCCTCCCTGGGCCGACGGGGGGGGGCCTGCGGGCAGAAGGCCGCCGCGGGGGGGACGGCACGTCGCCCGCCGGGGGGGGGGGGGGAGGGCCCGACGAGCGGAGTACGCCACGCCAAGGCGTGGCGCATGGTCGGCAGCAGCGGCCGGCCCCGCCCAAGCGGACCCCGGCCACGAGGGCAGGTGGTTGCCGACACCCCACAGGAGGCACACATCCAGCAGAACCCCCCCCCCCCACAGGCCAGAGAGCGGAGGGGAGACCAAAAAGGAGGAACAAGGACAAGGAGGGGGGAGGGAAAGGACGAGGACAGATAACCCACAAGGCGACGAACAGCCCCCCAGCCGCCCCACAAGGCCCAGAACCCCCCACGCGGCCGCAGGGGCGCCCCATTCCTGGGGCCGGTGGTCCTTCTGCCAGTGTGCACTCTCCGCCCCTAGGTGCGGGCCGAAGGTGGCGCTCGCCGCACCATCACAGGGGCCAGGGACCGGGGTGCGTGTGTATGTGTGTATGTGTGTTGTGTGTGTGTGTGAGTGTGTGTGTGTGTGTGTGTGTCAACGTGTGTGTGTGTGCGCGTGTGTGTGTGCGCGTGCGTGTGTGCGTGTGCGTGTGTGTGAACGTGTGTGTGTGCGTTTGCATGTGCGTGTGCGTGTGCGTGTGTACGTGAGCGTGTGTGTGTGTGTGCGTGTGTGTATGTGGTGCGTGTCTGTGTGTTTGTCTGTGTGGGTGTCTGTGGGTGTCTGTGTGTGTGTCTGAGTGTGTGTGCGTCTGTGTGTGTGTCTGTGTGTGTCTGTGTGTGCGTGTGTGTGTGCGTGTGTGTGTGCGTGTGTGTGTGTGTGTGTGTGGTGCGTGTCTGTGTGTGTGCGTGTGTGTGTGCTGTGTGTGTGTGCGTGTGTTGTGTGTTGCGTGTTTGTGTTGTGTGTGTGTGTGTGTGTTGTGTGTTGTGTGTTGTGTGGCTTGTGGGTTGTGTGTTGTGTGTGTGGTGTGTGTGGTGTGTTGTGTGTTGTGTGTTGTGTGTGTGTGTGTGTGGGGGTGTTGTGTGTGTTGTGTTGTGTGGTGTGTGTGTGTGGTGTGTTGTGTGGTGGTGTGTGGTGTGGTGTGTGTGTGTGTGGTGCGTGTGTGGTGTGTGCGGGGTGTGTGTGTGTGTGATGTGTGTGTGGTGTGTGTGGTGTGTGTGTGGTTGTGTGTGTCTGTGTCTGTGTCTGTGTCTGTGTGTCTGTGTGTCTGTGTGTCTGTGTCTGTGTGTCTGTGTCTGTGTGTACGTGTCTCTGTGTCTCTGTGTCTCTGTGTCTCTGTGTCTATGTGTCTATGTCTGTGTGCGTGCGTGCGTGCGTGTGTGTATGTGTGTATGCTCTAATCGGAGGTGCGCCACCAAGGGGGGCGCATAGTAGTACTCGTAAGCCCTTCCGAGTCTCATCGTCAGGGATGCTCAGGAGGCCGTGGGGGTCTCCTAGTGAGATCCTGGGGACGCCCTGGGCCAAGGACATCTTTGGCAGCGCCCGAAGGGGGGGGGGCGGTGTTCGGTAGCAAATCATGGGAGCCTTGTGTACCCTCGTGACTCCGTCAAATCCTCCTCCTCCTCCTCCTCCTCCTCCTCCTCGCACGCCCGAGCGATGCCAAGATGTCTGGGAAGGGATCCCTTGAAGTCTCCAGACGTCCCCGGAAGTCCGAGCCCACGGAGGCCTCTCTAAAGCCCCTGGAGGTCAGAGAAGAACCCTAGGACGACTGAGACCATCCAGCGCAAAGGAGAAGGACGAGGAGGAAGTCGAGAGTATAACAGTCAGGAGGGAAAAAAAAACACACAGACACACTTAATCGTCGATTCCCCAGAGAATATGGGAAAGTATGGGAAGTGGGGGAGAGACAACCCCTGCAAAACATTGGAAGGTATGGGAGATCCTGTTATTTGTGTCTGTTTATTTGTTCGTCCCAGGGCCCCTGCAAACAGCCCCCCGCCCAGGCGGCCACGGAGAGCATGCCCAGGAGTGGCCTCCGCGCGCCCTCGGCGGCGCTGCC